GGGAGGGAGGGAGGGAGGGAGGGTAAAGTAGGGCTTCGTCAAATCTCTGCATTTTTCTTTTTTCTTTTTCGCAACTTTGGATATTAGCATTTCGTTTTCCGTTTCACTCTGGGCATATTAGGTGAACTAGGGAGGTTGTCATACTCTCGGACTGGATCTATTCTTCTCTAAAAGTGGAACCTCCAGTCTATTTCGCGCAAATGTTTTTTTCAAGATCGCATTTTTTTGAAAGCCGAAACTTTGTGAAACCTTGCCTAGATCTCGCTCATAGTACTCCTGTGAAATGCCTCACTGATAACAGATGGACAGATATACAAAAAAAAAAAAAGGGAGGTGATCCTCTTCTTTTATTTTTTATTTTTTTTCTGTTGATTAGGACCGGGAATGGAAAGTGCAGTTATGTTACCTTTCTGCGTTTCCCTCCCATGCAGCCCTTTGTCTGCATCCACGGTTTGGTAAGTGCCATGTCAGCAGTGCACGACAGCATCAGTGCCACGTCAGCAACAGTGCCACGTCAGTAGCAGTGCCACATCAGCAGCAGTGCCACATCAGCAACAGTGCCACGTCAGCAGTGCCACGACAGCAGCAGTACCAACACCAGCAGTGCCCCGCCACCATGACGGTTTCAGCTTTGGGCATGCCAGGCCAACTGGCCAGCGAGTCCATCGACGAGTATCGGCAGTGGTTTCTAGCTCAGCTCGCACTGATCGAGGCTGAGGTACAGCGCCAGGCGGCAGCCGAGGCTGCCCGCCTACAGGCTGAAGCAGAGTCAGAAGCCGAAAAACAGCGGCTTTAGGCCGCAGCTGACGCAGATGCCCAGGCCCGCCGCAAGGAGGCCCAAGATCTGCTGCAGCAGCACGAAGCCACCAGCATCGACAAGCTCAAGTTCTGGCATTTCGAACCATCCGACGGCCATGACGACGCAACACCGGAAGAGCAGCACAAGGAGTTCCTCTCCAAACTCGTGACCCAGTTGGTTTACACTTGTAACCACCTGTAGTCCGAGTTAGAGAAACAACACCAGGAACTGGCGAAACAGCACCAGGAACTGGAGAACCTCTGACAGGCAGTGCGGAACCACAAGGATCTTCACGAGGGTGCTACATGGGCACTTGATTCCCGTGTACAGGACTTGGAGAAAGCAGCACCAAGACCAGACGCTGGGGAACCCAACAATGCAGCCTCAACCTGCCAGTTGGAGCAACGAGTTGACCATGTAGTCGCAAAGACTCGCAATGCTCGACGACATCAGTACCCTTGCCACACCAGCCACCATCAGCGAGCAGCTCGACACCTTGAAGACCGAACTCAGGCAGCTACACCAGCCGCCCGACAACGATCGCAGCACTAGTGCATCGAAGCACTACAAGATGCCGATGTTCCAGATCGAGAAGTTTGACGACTATACTCATCAAAACCCAGTCGTCTGGTGGCAAGGATTTACAACGGAGCTTGGGATTCATGAGGTCCCCGAACATTTGTATATCGCGGCGCTGTTCCTCAACGTCAAGGGTGGATGCCAGATCTGGCTCACCCACATGGCAACCATCCACGGCATCCAGGTCAACAACTTACACAAGAAGATCTCTTGGGAAGATCTAATGAGAGAGTGGAAGAAGCGGTTCATTGTTGACGACGCCCCGGCGCTCGCCATCAACAGCCTCTTCGCCATGACTCAAGGCAACACACCGACGCACGATTGGCTCACGGAATGGCAAAAGATTGTGGCAACACCCGATCTCGACTTGTCATTTCCGCATCTGCGTTGAGAGTTCTACAACCGGTCGTGTGCCGCCTTGAGCCTCGCACTCGGTGATCGTGAACAGTACACGACCTTCGCCGAAATCATCGACAAGGGTCATGAGATCATCAAGAGCAACCGGGCTGTTGCACACAAGAAGATAGCGTGGCAGCCAACCCATGTGGAGAAAGGAAAATTTGGTCCGTGTCCGCAACCCGTTGCTGCAGTCCAATTGGACAACCTTGTGGAAGACCCGACAACCACCTCAGCATCACGTGAGGGAGATCAGGTGCCTGGTGTCCAGCCGCAAAGCAACAATAACTCCCATATCAAAGGGAAGGCGAAAACAACATCGCCGACCGGAAATGGACAGCTAGTACCATGGGTCAAGTTCAACTTGACCGAGGCGGAATACAAGTACCGCAACCGATACGGCTGCTGTTATTGGTTCAACAACACCAAGCACAAAACCTCTCATTGCCATGATCAAGGCAAGGAGGATGCTCGACTTCGAATCAGCTCGGGAAACTGAGCTGCACGGGAGGTGAGGCGACTCCACCTCTCACTCCGCCAGATACGGCCGCCTTACTAGCAGCCTCCTACACATCTGGGGAGAATGCGGATGTCGCGAATCGTTGGTTCACTTACGAGGATTACGCTGTCCACTTGGTCCCACCGTTGGACCAGCCACTCCACGTGCAATCATCCACCGCATGCACGGTTTCATCACCATCGACAACCGATTTGGCAGCTTTGCCGCCAACTATCGCTGGGGATTCGGCATCATGGTCAAGACTTCAGAGACTTGACCCATTGACGTTCGTGGACTTGCAATGGATGCCCCTTCCCCCGACCGGTCGATTGCCGAAACCGCATTGCAACATGCTCATGGCACAATTGCGGGATTACTTGCACAATGCAGTACCAGCCTCGTTGATGGACGCCGGAGTAGAGGTTGTTAACCTTCACGACTATGTTGCGAAGATCGACCGCGAGTTCAAGACAGAACGGTACGACGACATCGACGCGCCATTGTTGTACATACGCATTCAGATCGGAGAGGCGACCTGCACCGCTTTGATCGATTGCGGAGCTACTCGCAACTATATGAGCCAAGATTTCTGGTACGCGCTGGCCTGGGGCCACACGTTCAGAGGAAGTCGCAGCCCACGCAAGTCACGTTGACCGACGGTCACACGCACAAGTCAATCGACCGGTGCATTGATTCCGTCCCCGTGTACTTCGCCCCGCATGCAAGCGAGGCCGTGTCCTTCGGCATCGTGGACACCAAGTTACGAGCAGATTTGCAAGCATCTGCACCACTGATCTATGCCAACTACGAGCGATGAAGACCAGCTAAGGAAGATTCACAACCTGCCCCTCCCACCCGGACTTTGGTCCCTCCCTCTGACAGGCAGCTTCGCCCTCGCAGGTAAGCTCGGTCTTTCAAGGAGGGGGGGGAGTGGCATACTGCGCATCCACGCGGGCATGCAGGGCCCGACCAGACGGAAAATAAGGGCCCTTCAGGCCCTGATGTCGTTTCAGCCTAAAACCCTGAAAAAGAGGGCCATTTACAGGCCCTCATAAAGTCGACGTGCCCTGAAACTCAGGCGCCAGACCAGGGTTTAGCACAGGCCATTTTTGGGCCTGTTTCAAGACAACCTTTGTTTGAACTTCAACGCCAGGGTCTGGCACGTTTCGGCATTGGCAAGAGCAGCCTCCCGGATGGGCCAGCACTATATAGAACTGGCCNCAGGCCATTTTTGGGCCTGTTTCAAGACAACCTTTGTTTGAACTTCAACGCCAGGGTCTGGCACGTTTCGGCATTGGCAAGAGCAGCCTCCCGGACGGGCCATCACTATACAGAACTGGCCCGCCCTGCAGGCTGCAGGTAGTTCACGGGGACTTCCCAGGCAGTTCACAGGCACTTCACGTGCAGGAGGCAGGAGGCAGTCTTTCAGGATTTGGCAGCAGCACTCTGGAGGAGCGCTGCAGTAGTAGTAATAGCGTTAGGAGTAGCGTTCAGCGCTGGGCGCTATTAGGAGCTTAGAGTAGCGTTGGAGAGAGAGGGAGTTGGCGGAGGCCAGGGAGACTTACCTGCAGCGCCATAGCTCCGGCTTCGTCTTCGATGTACCTGCAACAAGGCGCCACCTTCACAGGTTAGTACCGGACTCTGAGAGAGAGAGAGAGAGGTCTTCTTCTTCCTTTTCTTAAGTCCACCATCTCTACCTCACCCTCTCGCTACCTGACTTCTCAGTATCTGCAGACTACAAGAGAGAAAGAGAGAGATTGGTGACTTCGGGACTTGACGACATTTGGATTCAGACCCAATATTCTGGATTGAGAAATTGGACGAGGGATTATTTGGGACCTGTACCGAAGACTTGGTGTTGACGACATTCCCATCTTCCCCTCTTCTTCGTCTGATCCCCTCCTCTTCGTCTGTGTATGGTCTGGACCTGGTGCCTTCTTCCTGTGTGTAGCGCCAGGCCCTTCACACCTTGCGATGGTGATGATGTATGTTTGGTGTGCATTGCGACATTGATTGGTCGGAACATTGGTATTTTAGCTTTCCGCTGCGCTATCTTGTACTATGTTAGAGAGGTTGGTTCTTGTTCTGGTCTGTATCGTTACGGTATGCGACAGCCACCCACCTCAGGAACCCTCAACAAGATTCCATCTTACACCACAGTCCTTGTGACAGATTCAAGCCAGCCCCAGAAAGACTGTAAAATTCTGCAGGCAAAAGCTCGGACAGATCAATAAAGGGTACACAGCGCTACAGTTTCACTGAGAGGAGTATAGTTTATCTATAGTCTCTACAAAAGTTCTGAAATAGCTTTAAGTCCAGTATAGCCGTGTTAGGTATCAAGCAGCAAGCAAACTTAGGCAGGGGTGAGGGGGGTACATCCTTCCAAGCTGGAAGTAATCAATGTCGTCCCTCGGATCTCCCAGCCATTATGGGAAGAAGTGTTTTTGAGCGTGTCGTAATCTGTATGTCTGACTTGCTGGTGGAATAGGAACTGGACTGATGCTACCCAGAATGGACAAGGAGCCAGAGCCGTACAAAAAAAAAAAAAAAAAAAAAAAAAAAAAAAAAAAAGGGATTCGATGTGGGGGACATGTGTAGAACATGGAGTATGGAAAGTGAAACATCTCTGGTCGGAGGAAAATTCCCACTGGAAAACAGCCAGGGAATTGAGGAGAGAACTCAAAGGGAGTCACAGGTTGCTGGAAAATCTTAATGATGTACTGGTCTCAATCCCGACCATTGGCTTGACCTTCTGGAAAAAGAGGTCCACTCTGAACAGTGGGAGAGTGGGCCACCTGGAGAGACATAGCCAAACAGACATGTATGACATAGAGGGACCAGGCCACACAATGAGCATACTCAAGAAAGACACAAGGACACCGGTTACCATACGAGAGGAAATGGTTCACAAGGAAAGGGTGGCCGAAGATGAGGCTTTCACATTTTACAGCCCGACCGTTGCAGTTGAGCACCTGGAAATTGACCAGGGTGAATGAGCCTGGAACCTGAGAGGGGTAAGTACCAAGGTAGCCCGGCAAATCAAAATCTTGCACTACACAACTAGGCTGGGCTATCAGCTTAGGGTGAAATGACAGTATCCAGGGCTGGTACTGGAACAGAGAGGGCAAACACAGCTGGGCGAGTCGGTCATCGCAAAGGGAGCTGTGTGTAGTCTGCACAGAGGGAGCTAGGGAGACGGTGAGAGGCATTGTTTGCTGAAATGTCCAAAAACCAGACAGTTATGGGAGGAGGTCAGGGAATCTATGGCACAGGGTAGCCACTAACCCCTCCCGGATGACCCAGTCACAATGCTGCTGGGCTCGCACACCCCCTTCATGTGGACACGATTCGATTACGGATGTTATCAAAAGCTGAGGCAATATGGCTTATGGGTGATTTGGAAACACAGGCGCCAGCCAACAATTGAACTAAAGCCAGTTTGTATAAGGGAGGAGAGCGAGGAGCTAAAGGGACTCCTGCAAATGGAAATTACAGCTCAAAAGCTGCTCAATGGAAAAATGTCAAACGGTCCATGGAACAGTCACCGGAAAAAAGCTAGGGAACTAAGGCAAGCTTTCGTTAAGCATGTACTGCGAGGCTAGAAGATAGCTTTCATAAAGGGTAACAGGGTCAGCTGGCAATGGTGGACAGCGGCAGTGGACACAAGGGCCCGGATGTTCCCGCAGTATGAAGCATGGGAGAACCAGCAACTATCAATGTGGGGACATCATAAGGGGGTTCGGAGTCTGATCCGCTGTACATGGACAGATGATTGGTCCAACCGCCGTTAACCGGTGTTGGAAGCTCCTTTCTGGTACTGAGTTATGCCACTCTTTCCAGCAGAAACGTTCTTCTCGTATCTCTGCAGTCTTGCCGTTTGACCACCAATTCTTGTAAAACCTCAGTCTCTCGTTCTTTCAGTGTTCCTCGGCTTCTGTCCAGGAGTAATTGACTTTGATGAAGATGAGCAGTTGCAATCAGACTCGCTTCTTTTCGCACTTCACATACATGCAAACAGGTAGCGCAGCAAACTGGCGACAAGCGCCCACTCAAACTCAGAGATATGGTAACCAAGAACGCAGTTCAGATACAAGCTCACTTCAAACGGCTATGGCGCAACAGCGCGCACACACAGGATCACCCTGGGTATTCCACACGCGTCACACTGTACACACACTGTACACACACGCTACACTCCTCTATCAGCTATGGCGGCTATGGCCGCTACTACCCCTATTGCTATGGCTAAGCTCTCCTTCTCGCCCACTTCGTCTTCGGGCTCACTGCAGACCACCTCGCACAAGTCGCTGTGGCAGCGCTTCCGCATGGCTTACGCAGGAATGAATGAATGAATGGCTGGGCGCTGCCTCTTGATTTATACTTCTGTAGCTCGTTGGTCTGCCCCTTTCCCATGCCCCTGGTGCACACAGTCCCACATGGTACTTGCTTGACTGGACTGAGACTGACTGGAACTGGGTGCCGCTGACTCAGCACCGGTGGACTTCGCCACTTGCCCACTTGCTTCGGTCTACTGTGGGCAATTCTCGAAAGGCCACTTCCGGACCTTCCGGAAGACCGTGGACTTGGCCTTTCGGTACTGTAGCAGCTACGACCTTGACCCTTCAGGACTGTAGCAGCTACGACCTTGACCCTTCAGGACTGTAGCAGCTACGACCTTGACCCTTCGGACGAGCTACAGCTACGACTTCTAGGACTCACTAAGACTCCTATCCGACAGGTCTACAGATCAAACCCCTATAACCTACAGACCTACAACAGCCTACCAACTGTGGGGAAAGACACAGGTCGTGGGTTCAACTCCTGAGGTCGACACAGATACTGTACACCGGTAGGGTAAGGACTAGGGATCGAGCCCTGGGATCTGCATCGGCTACTGCAAAGGTGGAATCCGTTTCACTCCCGCTGGCCTAAATTCGAGGTCCTCCGAGAATATCTCAGTTCAAGGCCGGACCTTTGCCCTTCTTATCTCTCTCATAGGCCCTCACTACATCGGGAGCTGTTTCTAGAAGTTCAATCCTTGCAAACCAGCGGTCGTCTTCCGGTTCCTGATATGCGAATCAGACTTTATATCGTTTTTGTGGATGAGCTCTACCCCTTGTTCTGAATACATCCTCACCTACAATGTCATATCTCCCATCCATATCCGGAGGGATCATGGATCTCCTTGAGGGAAACTGTTGGCTTGTGACACACGACAACAGTTTTGACGCATGAAATACGGAGTAGGTGTGGAGGTGTGTTGGGATCTCTACGGTGTAGGACGGCCCATCCTCTCCGCCCCTGACTTTTAGAAATGGCCATGGTCCCATGTATGCTGGCAGTAACTTCTGCGAGATGTTCTCGTCAGGAGCAAACTCTTTGGACTTGACCCAGACTAAGTCGCCTACTTGGAACTGCGATGGGCGACGGTGCTTGTTGGCTTGTTCTATCATTCTATGCTTGGCCTTCGTGAGGTTCTCGACGACTGTAGCTAGCTCTTTCTCGTGATGTATCGCAAACTCCCTGGTACCGGGCGGTAGCCTATGAATCTGGTCCCGGTTAAGTCCCTCAAACGGTCTGCGCGGTCTAAAAGACTTGTGTAACTCGTTGGGGGTGCGACAAGTGGACAAGTGCACGCTGTTGTTATACGCGCTGGCTACCTTGGGCAACATCTCGTCCCAATTGACTTGATTTGGTCTAATGTACGTGCGCATAACCAGTTGCAGGATCTTGTTCATCTATTCAGTCTGAACGTAAGTCTCTGGATGACGGCCAGATGACATCAGCAACTTTGACCCATAAACTTTCATCAGTTCCTACCAGTTCTGACTCGTAAAGCAGGTATCTCTATCACTAACGATAGACAATGTGACTCCATCCTCACTAACCCAAAAATAAAAAAAACTTCTGAATCACTAGCTTAGTACGAGCTTCTGCGGGTAATGGAACAAAAACAGCGTACTTGCTGAATCGATCAACTATAACCATGACTTGACTTTTACCATGCCTACTCTTGACGCCAACGTCCATAAAGTCAATGGACACTGAATCTCATGGCGGATCAGGAATAGGCAAGGGTATGAGAAGACCTAGAGGGGCACGCGTAGTGGTCTTATTTCTTCGGCAGACTTTGCAACTGGGGACATATTCTATGCAGTCAGCTTTCATTCCTGGCCAAGTGTACGCATGCATCAGATTGGCTAGAGTCTTTTGCCAACCGAAATGTCCCTCTGTGTCGTGGCATTCCCCTAAGATCAAACTACGGATCTCCTCGCTGTTAGGAACGCACAGACGGTCTACTACATTAGTCTTCTCAAATAACAACCCCTCAGTAGTGCGGAAAACGGTTCGGTCTCTGGGGCCTCCTTAACTCTCTTGAGGAGGTCACTATAGATAGGGTCCTGCGCATACGCCTGTCTTACTTTCTCTTGCAGGTATGTCCCTATATCCAAATAGTGGACTATAGCTCCAAAGTAGTATGATCTCCTACTTAGAGCATCCGCAACTACATTGTATTTGCCTTTGACAGGCTTAAGCTAAAAGTCGTATTGGTCTATCTCAGCGGCCCACCTGGTCAACTTAGGTTTCATTTTGGCCTGTCTCTTCAGCCACCTAAGAGTCTCGTGGTCTGAATACACTTTGAAGTGCCTCCCAAGCAGGTAATGCTTCCAGTGCTCTAAGGACTGCCTGAGAGCGTAGAGTTCTCTCTCGTACGTCGAGGTAGCTACCTTTGACATGAACTCTACGGGTCTGTAGCCATTGTCGTCGTCTTGCTGTAACACGACGCCTATACTATACTGACTCGCGTCGGTGGTGACGACAAATGGCAAAGACAGATCTGCTACTTTGAGGACAAGATACTCTATTAACGCGCACTTTAATTTCTTTAGCGCAGACGTACAGTCTTTATCCCACTGCCAGACTGCCTCTTTCTTGAGCAACCTGCGAAGGGGAGCGGCGATGGTCGAGAAGTTCCTCACGAACTTCCTATAGTAGTTAGCTAGGCCTAGGAACGACCGCAACTCAGTCAACGTGCGGGGCGTCGGCCAATCTCTAATTGCCGCTATCTTGCTGTCCTCAGGCTTAATGCCATCTTCGTCTAAAACGTGGCCCAAGTACAAGACTTGTGTCTCGGCCCACTCGCACTTCTTTGCATTGATCTTGAAGTTAGCCTCTCTCAGCTTCTCCAAGTCCTGCCTCAAATGACCCTGATGCTCTTGGAGGGTCCTACTGAACACTAATATATCATCTAGATAAACCACAACAAATCTGTCTAACCAAGGCCTAAACAAATCGTTCATACAACGTTGGAACGTGGCAGGCGTGTTGGTTGGTCCAAAGGGCATCACTATGAAATCATAGTGTCCATATCTAGTCTGGAACGTAGTCTTGTACTGGTCATCAGGATGGACCTCTACCTGATGATACCCGGACTTCAAATCGATCTTCGAAAAATATATGCAGCCCTGCACTCGATCTAGGAAATCTTCTATCCTAGGCAGTGGCTCAACATTCTTTACTGTGATCGCGTGTAGACCCCTATAATCTATGCACATCCGCAACTCTCCTTCCTTTTTGGGGACAAATAAGACTGGTGCTCCAAAAGGACATGAACTGAGCCTAATCCAACCCTTTTCGAGGAGCTCGTCTAGCTGCTTACGCAACTCCTCTAACTCCCTTGGGGACATCCTGTAGACTGCTCCCTTAGGAGTCCCACTGCCAGGCTCGATCTCTATACGATGCTGGATCGGCCGCGGCACTACTCCCGACGACGACTCTGCCAGATCTTTGAACTCTTTCAGCAGCTTGGCAATAGCTGGATCGACGGGTGTGTCTTCTTTAGGCTCAATGACAGGCCTTACATAAGCTACGAAGACCTGTTCCTCCAACCGCTCCTTTCTTACTAATCGCGCAAATGCGGAGCACTGAAACAACATTGTGCCAAGGTGTTGTCTATTCCTGACACGTGAAACAAACGGGCCGTCTTAACCTCGCCTGACGGACTAGGGAGCCTACACTCATGCTCTCTCAAGTGGAGTGTGGCCGCTGCTGCCTCTCCCCAGCCCATACCTAGGACTATGTTAAACGGAAGGTCATCTTGTACGAGGAGAGTCAGGGAATGGAAAACTCTCTCCACTTTCCTATCTTTCTCTAGGCGGAAATACGCCTTCACTCCCTCTACGTAGTCCTCAACACGCATAGTGCGGTTGTCTGCGAGGACACCAACTATGGGGTCTTGCAAATTTTGGACTTTCAACCCTAGCCTTAGCTTCTTCAGCGCTCTACGGCTAACATAACTGTGAGTAGCCCCTGAATCTATAAGGGCTCCTACTCTACTTCTAAAAACCTCTACATCAACTAAGACTAGTTGTCCCTTGCTATCCTTCTTCATTTTGGCCCAGGCAGGCATCCTCTCCTTCAACTCTTATGCCACGCCTGTGAGGGAAGTGCCTAGAGAGACGCTAACACAAGTAGTCTCTGGACAGCTAGCTGGGCACTGACCTGCAACCTCTGTCGGTGTGGGAGTTTCCTGTTCGCGTGCGCTCGCTTCCCCACATGGCCTTGTAGTAAGGGCAGTTGCAACCCCTACCGGTGGCTGCCTTTTGACTCTTGGGCAACCCATCGAGCCTCTCTATACTTAGGACAATATTTAATGATATGGGTTGGGTCACCGCAATATATGCACTGACCCTGGCTCACGCGTTGCTGCCATACGCGTTGGTCCAGGCCCAAATCTTCCCATGGCCTGCCTTGGGGAAAGCCTGGGCGCCATCCTCCTCTCCTCTGAGGTGATCCTCCACCTCATCGCTGCGGGGACCGACTAGGACCTTGACGATTTGACGGGGGACCTTGACCCCTATCTCCCTCTTGGCGGTTCCTTTGGCCGCCAACCCCCTGCACGCCCGGTCCTCGACCACCCGTGGCCTGGCCCCTTTGGCCCTGGCCTCCTCCTCTACCTTGCGGCCTCCCTCCAGCCGCGGCAGCAGCATAGGTCCTCCCCTAGCCTATACCGCCGTCCTCCTCCAGCCCCCACTCAATCTGACTGTAGTGGACTTCCTCAGTACCACCTTCATCTAAAGTAAGGATCAAATGATCCTTGGCCCTGACCTGGCCTAAGACGGTACGACCCTTCCACTTTTTACCTTTGTCTAGGTCCTTGTGCCAGAAAGTGGACACTGACATGGACTTTGCCTCATACAGCACCACCTCTCTACTCTAAGCATCGTACATCATGGTGGGCTGTTGACTCTTGTCAAAGAAATGCCCTCGTAAGGGCTCTGGCATGGCACGATAAAACAATTGGACCAACTGGGCCTCAGTGACCCCGTGGTCCAGGACGACTACCAAGTTGTCCATAACAACTATGAGTGCTCGCGCACTCCTCCACTGTCGTGAGTGGATGGTTTGGAGTTTGTTTGAGGCCTTAACACCACGCCTCAGATCAGCGAATCGCTCGTGGAGGAGCTTGAAAAAGTGGGGAAGGGAGGTGACTTTAGAATAAGCAACCATGTTGTTCTCACAACTGGCTGCGCGCGCTAGGGACTTGGCAAAACTGGCCGCATCATCTTTCAGAGCATGGAAGGCTACCAGAACCTGCTCCTCAGGTGCAATGTGTTGTAAGTACACGTAGCTATTAACACTAGCCTCCCAGTTATCGAAATTTTCTTCAGCTTTCCCGCCATACGCATCTGGGAACTTGAGCTTGACAGACTCTTTGTGGGGACGCGTTTCGGCCTCGGTCGTGGCCACTACCTTGGCGCCTTCAATGGCGCCTACACAAAACTTCTCTGCGCCTTCCTTTAACCTCTTGACTTCGGTCCCGACGTGGGTCACCACGTCGCGCACAAACTCTCTAAACCCAGTCCGGATGGCATGGAGGGCCACTTCTTGACCCTTATTGGCCTGATGTTGTTCAAGCCAGGCCTGACTCAAAATCTTGAGATAACCTAGAATCTTGTCTAATTTGGCCGGGGTTTCCTGTTGCGCTTGCACCTCCTGCCTACACGCCTGAATCTTTTCCACTTCCTTGGCCACCTGGTTGGCCTCCTCCCTCCTCCTCTTCTTCTCCCTGGCCAGACGCAATTTCCACTCCAACCTTTTTTCATCCTCCAGCGTCTGGCGATCCAGGGGATCTTCCATAGCCTCCAACTGCCTGGCTATAGCTTCTTTCTCCTCCTGAGGCACGTACAACATTGCCTCCTCATCTTGCCCCAGTGATAAATTAGCTACCCACTCACTGATCTTCTTCTCCATCCACTTATCTTCTTCTTTCGTACCGCTGCTTTCTCCTCTTTCTTCCCCACGCCTTCGTTCGAGGGGTTCTTCTTCTACTTCTTCCTCCTCTGTTGCTGCTTCTTCTTCGGCAACCCTCTTTTTCTCTTCCTCCTCCTGCTGTAGTCTTATTATCTCCTCCTCCAATTTCTTCTTCTTCGCCGCCTGCTCCTCAGCTATCGCCTTCAACTTCGTTTGTTTGAGAAGCTCCTTCTTCTCCTTTCTCTCTCTCAGGATGGCGGCGCTCCCTGCCTGTTCGGCTTCCAACTGTGGGGCAGTGCTCTTGCCAGTACGTGTCTCAATCATGGTGTCGGGTGCACAACCGGACAACGGTTCCACTCCTCACCACTTAGACTCTACCCCCCTGACTGACACGTACCTACTGACTCAATCTAAGGACCACAAAATCCGAACAGGATTCTGTCAACTAGGGTCACTGGCCTGGACCTAAACTATGGCTGTCAGTACAGGGCCTGTTGCTGATTAGGAGGCATTTAAGGAGATCCCTTGTAACTCCTCAGAAATTCTTTAACGTCGCAGACAGGACAACGCGATCAGCAGGTCCTCTCAAGACTTAGATGGTCTGTTGTGCAGCCCACAACTCAGATTTTGGGGCCTACCATGTCGAGCAGCCCGCCGATCAGTACCGACCCTTAGAAGGGTACGTGTCCTTCAGGACAGTCGAGTCGTCAGACACAGTCTTTAGCCCTACTCATCCCGTGTGGGTTTGGTCAACAAGGCCCTATCCTTCATCCACAGAGTCCTATTACCTGGACCGAAGAGACTCGATGCAGAAAGAAGAGACAGACAGACTTGACTCAGCAAGTACCACAGGGGGTGTGCTCATCCATAGGGCGAGGGGATAGGCTGAATGCTTGGCGAGATTATACTGGCTCCAGCTTGGTCAAAATCGCAGTCAACAGTCTTGGTCAATGCCTCGGTCAACGCTTGGTCAACGCTGCAGTCAACCCCCGGTCAACTCCCGGTCAACGCCCGGTCAGCTCCGGTCAACTCCCGGTCAACTCTCCATCCGGCTATGGCGGCTGGCTTCCCCTTTGTCACCACCCTTCTCCTTCCTTTTATCTACCTCGCCTCCTTCCTCTTCACCCCGGCTGGCTTCTCTTTTTCTCTTTTTTTTTTTTTTTTTTTTGTTCTCGTCCCTCCCTTCTTCTTCCTCCGCTTTACTTCTCTCCTCGGTCTCTCCTTCCATCCTCTCTTTCACCTCCTTCGTTACTACGTGGTGGAGCTCCGTGGCTATGGCCTTCTTCTTCTTCTTCGTTGGACGGCACAACGGTCTTCATAGGTACGTGATAACCAATCTTGTATGGCTCTCTGTCTCTCTCTCTCTCTCTCGCGCGCGCGCGCGCGCGCCGTAACGATGTCTTCAACGCAGGTACGTGGTGAACCAATCTTGTATCGCTC